ATCCTTGTCCACTGGAATGGACTGTCCAGTCCAATAGAGTTCCACTGGACTGGTCCAATCCAATGCCCAACACTGGTTCCAGTATATTTTTTAATGCCGTGATCAATAAAACGTCCATGCTTTAGGTGCGATTTTTATCAGACTGTGCATATCAATTGGTGTTGACGTTAATTTTGATTTCATACGTGGGTGCGATTGTTAATCGGAACTGTCTTTGTCGAATTCCCTCACTGAAATCTGTGATCATACCTTAATTACCAAAGGTGACATCTGATATATCAATTTTATTGCATTATATCCGTAATATCGTATTTTTTTCAGCACGTGACAAGGTATTCTGTGAATACTGACATTCATTACTAATCATTGCGAAAAGAAGTCTAACCAAAGATGAGTATGGGGTGATCTTGACTAATAAACTTCCGCAATTTCATTAGGAAAAGCTAGGCACCTGCCTCCTCATAAATTCGACGCCAGACAATAAGTTATCTTTTTCCGAGCAGTGTGAAGAAAATGGGCCAAAAGTCCAAAAGACTTAACGGAAAACATAATTTCTGTGTTGATTCAGGGTACATCATCCACATCACGAATATTACGAACTTTCCTACAAATACTTGTCCTTAACCCCTAAAGAATCCGTTGGCTAGCAGTGTTACACCTTTTTCTAAAGCAACCATCCACCAATGCCACGGAAACTGCTAATAAAAATGAAAATCGTGATCGGCAAAATTAGTGGACATTTAGATTTTCATGTTTTGTGACTATCGTAGCGATCAACTGCACAAATAAAATAAAATAAAAGTTATTTCACATCCTTTGCACCAATCTATTCAAAAATATTCTAACAAGTATAAAATGCTTTCAAAATCTGATATTATTTTATCGCACTCTTCACCATCGCCATCATAATCTATGAGATGGTTCTCCGGGTATCTTAACATTGGAGATGCTCCGAAGGTTTTCTCAGGAAATATATAATTCATGTAGGTGCGATCATATTCCTACTCCTACTCAAATATTTAACTTCGGCTTCACCTGAATCGCAACAAATCGCCAAACTCAAAAAAACAATATTACCACTAAATGATGAAATTCAAAAAAATGCGGTGGTGAAGCTGAATGGGATTGCATTTCGCAAGGTAAAGGATGATAATAATAATATTCTGAAGTGAAAAGTATGACCACGTAAATGCAAATTCTGATTCTTTAATCATCTATCAACACGATCGTTCTCTTCTGGCCGTGTATCTGTCGGAATATTAAGATGAAACATTTGGGTTGAATTTACAGCTCTATTCAACCAAGAAAGAAAGGGAGGGCGCTCCTACACACAAATGTATAATAATTTATCTTGAGAAATAAGTCTTAGTTCCACGATTTTGGTAAAGATTTTATCGTCATCAAAGATCTCTGAGGACTACTTCATTAGAAAAATAGAAGAATAGGTTGAAGCCACAGAGCTCAGGATCAGTCTCAAATTTCTGTTTGTAGTCTAGAAACTCGGCATCTCTTAATAGGGTTACTCTCCCTAACCCGAAGCCAATACATCTGATAGTTTTAGCTCAGAAGTGAAAATAATACTCCAAAACTCTAATTTATCAGAAGATGCGTTCACTAGGTGAAGAAATCCAATTCGCAATTAGACAAAACTGCTGTAAGTATTAAGTATGTAATTAATTTACAAAGGAAATCTTTACTGGGAGTAACGTAAAAACAAATTTACAGTGTTTATTCATAGTGGATTAGTTAACATTTCTCCTTAAATACAGCAACGAACTTTCTTCCCGGAATTTTCTGAATCAAACTTTAGGTTTGCCATTTTAATGGCTCGGGAGATGTATCAGATTTTACAAGTGAACTTCCATTGTGTTATACTTCTTACGTGGCTTAACTTAACGAAACAATTTGAAACAAAAATAATTACTCGTCAAATTTTCTTTATATCTTTACAATAATTTTTTTTTCATCAGCAAAATAAATGAGCAAAGTATAAACAAACTAATAGAAAAACGCATTTTATAATTAATTATTTTGAAATCGCCTACATACTCTTTTCTTTGCACTCACAACAAAGGGCGTTTTGCTTGTACTTTCAAATAACCTGTATCCGGTTGAGGCTTTTATCTTTTGAGGTCGTTATATTTGCGATTTGATTTAAGGGCTTCATAATATTACTTTACCATTAATTAGTGTCAGTTCATTTAATGGATTTTTAATTTTGACATTGTAATATGTTGCCTTTGGTAATTTTTATATAACGATCTTGGTCTACTAAGAAAAATTTATTTTTTCTGAACAAGGCTGGTGTCCAGAGAAACAGTTATAGGATAATCTATATCTGACAAAGTGCAAACGTATTGTGAATTAACAAAATTTTGTTGGATATTTTTAATATAAGTTTTCTTTAAATAAAAAAATTTTTTAATCGTTTCTGTATGTTCAAAGGAACTTCTCGCATGCGCCATTAAAACCGCTAAATACAATTCCTTTTGATACACGATAAATAATCCAAAATTCTGATAAGTTTAGGTTTAATATAGCCATCACGGATACAGTAAAGCGTAATGAAAAAATTTGTTGCCGCTTTGTCAGTCAATATCGGTAAAACATGATGTAGAGGATCCTGGAATTTCCAGAATTGGAAAAGCTTAATGATTACGTAACTCAGCAGTCGTAATAAATATCTAATTTTTTTTATGTAATTATAATGATAATTTTACTACATGAAATTTTAGCTTGAGAAATCATCTTAATCTCAGATTCATATTAATAAATCCATTTAGTGTTAAACTTCAACCTTTATCCCGTTCATACAGTAAATGTCAAAGGCTTTTATAAAAATGGGTCAAATAGAATCATTGGAACGAAAAATATCCTTGGGAGATGATTTAAGACAATTAATCAATGATGATAGATTTTTTGACATTACTTTAAAATGTTCGGATAAAACGAATTTACCTGCATGTAAATCTATTTTAGCAACTCGTTCCGACGTTTTCAACTCTCTTATATTTACCGAATCAAGAAATCATAACGATAATGAACTTTCATTTAGTAATATCAATTCAGATGCTATGAAAGTAGTAATAGAATATTTGTATACGTCCGATGTTGAAAAGCAAAGCTTAACTATTAATAATATTGTTGAAGTTTATTATGCTTCTATTCATTTTAAATTGACATCTCTTCAGGAA